CCTTGCGTGATATTTACTATGTTCGAATATGATCGAACAATGAGTGAAAGAAACAAAAAACGAAATGTCGTTTTTCTAAAGATTGGATTAGAGATATGAAAATTAGTCTTTTCTTTTGTTGCGATTAAGAAATGTTAGGAGATGACGATGAATTTGAACCCTTCTTCCGGAGGCGTTAATGTTCTTGAGCGGCACAGTTGATCTCCTAATCTCCAAATTATTTATCATGTAGCAACTTAATTCCCAAAATTTTATTATTCCACAATCAGTCCCAACGGTTCATTTGACATAACTTTTAAAAAATCAAAAGCTGCTCCTGAGATTAAGAGGTTACTTATGATCATGTTTGAATAATATTTTAAAAGTATTTTGTTTGATTAGAAAAACTTTTAAAGATAACTAGTTTAAAGTAGTTTCATTAGGAATCTCTTCTACTAAAAGTAGAAGCCCTGTCAAATGAGTCCAATTGTTTAGACATCCGTTTAATTGTCACCCGGCTCTCGTAGAAACATCTCTCGCTTCAAATGAAAAGAAGAACTTATTTATATAAAGTTGGACTCGTGTCACGTGACGATTGAACAAAAAATTGGACATTTTCTGACATTGAAAATTGATTGTACAATTAAAAGATTGGAAATCAATTTGTTCCTTTATATAAAAGAGACCAACTTGTAATTGAAGTAGTGATTGGGAATCGATAATCAATTTTCCAAAAAATTATACCATCACCAATTTGAAAAGTCGATGTAAAATTTGAAAAGAATTGTAAGAGTCAATTTTCTAAACGTTCGACTTTTTCTGTAAAATAAAAAGAGAATCCCCAATAAACCGACAAAAATGCAAGTTCATTTCTTGTTATAGCAATAGAGAGATGGAGCAATGTGTTATGAATTTATTTGCTTAAAAACAAGATAACATGTCACTCAATGGCATTACTCTTAACTCCAAAAGTACATTAAAATGGTTGAATATTTGTCCCAACTTGGACATAAACGTACTCTCACATGTGGGCACGTCCATTTTAGCATTGGACATGTATGAGATTTGTATGTGACAAATACTTTTTCCTTCATTTAACTTTTTTTTTATGTAGATCAAATTAAATCTCGAAATATTAAAGTTTTTATAGGAATAGCCATTTCCACAAATCTTCCTCGACCTTATATATTCTCTTTAAGAAGTTCGAGATATTAACTTGAGATAGTATGGATATAGTGTCTGAGTTTTTCGCCTCCTTTGTTGTATTTGTAATTCACGGTTCCCCAAATTATTTTTCCACCTTACAATACAGATTACCAAACTCACATTCAGTAGATTTGACGACATTAATTACTTGTATTAAGTTCAATAAGTAGTTTTTATAGTTTCACTAACACAAATTTTTATCAAAGAAATTCGAGAAACATTATGATATAAGATAGCTCTATAAATAGTATACTTCCCACGTGATGATTCTAGAACTAAGAAAAATAAGAAATGACAACGTTGTTCAACAAGTGGAAGTATCATTCGTTAAAAATAAACAATGGAAAGACGACTTCTTGTAATTAGACATATCATAAAAAAATAAAGAAATTCTACCTTATAATCATTATATAATTTCATTATAACATGTCAAAAGACGAGCGGTAGACCAAAATTAAAATTATCCCTTGTAATAGTTAAAACTTAAAACTACTCATTTTGATTCTTCAAACAAATGCAAGAAATCAAAGCAAAAAATGTCAACCATAATGAGTAAGATTTAACTTATTTTTAATTATATTTGATTTTCTTGGCAATTTCATTTTGTATTGAGATGCATGAACCAAAACTTCTAGTAGCCTGTTACCGTTGGCCGCATAAAACTGCCAGCGGATGATGTTGGCCGCATAAAACTGCTAGCGGATGATGTTGGCCGCGTATCTCTCTATTTAATATGTATAGACCATTTCGTCAGCCATTTCGTCACGCGTGCGTGCTCTTTACGAAGTCAACTCAATTACGTGACTATAAGGTTTTTCTATATCGAAAATGCACAATTTATCCACCCACGGCCACAACTTCATTGATTTGTCTTAGTATCTATCTTCTTTTAAGTATGGTGACATTTTTTGTCAACTTTTCTTTTCTTTCTTCATTATTTCACGTAAGCAAAAGATTTAAATAAATAATTTTTTAATATTCTTCAAAAAGATAACAATCAAAACAGCAAAAAGTTAATGGACCGTTCTCTTCGTGTTTTAGAACCTGTCTGGTTCCGATTTTTCTCCCCAAAAAATCGCTTTTTTGCCCCTTTTTTTCAACCTTTTGGGCCCCGCTAAGAGAGAGTTCAGTCTAATGTTGCGACTGCACAATGTTTTCAACGGCCAAAATTCTGATTAGTAGCACAAACAGACAGGATCTTAATTTTTAGTTTTGAGTTTTGAATTTATTTTAAGTTTTGTGTTTTGAGTGTCTATTTTGAGATTATTGAAAATGGGTTCTTTTTGTTATTTTAAAAAATTATTTTCAAAAATAATAAAATGAAGTTTTGGCTTGATTTTAATTGAGAACAACCAAAACGATTTTTTTGGTGTTTTCCGTTTTCTTTGTAAATTTTAAACTCGTTTTTTAAAATTCGTTTTAAAAAATAGATAAGTAAAAATATTTTTAGTATTTTCGAAATTGAAAACTGAAAATAGTCAGAAAACAACAAACTTTCATTCTTTGAGTTTTAGGACCACTTCAAAATTCTCTCTTGAAAAAGAATGTTAAATGAAGCTTTCTTTAAAGGTTGGTGTGTCCATTGAGCTAGATCCCAAAGCCATGTACGGTAAATTCTTTTATTATTTCTTGTAGGAACAAGGGGAAAATAAATAAAAATAATAATTGAGGTATGTAACAAGGGAAAAAGGCTAAATGCAATGCTGTAATTCCAAGGCACGAGAAGAAGGTGCGTCGTTTGTGTTGTTCACAAAGGGGATGAGGGCCGCTCACAACCTAAGTCTAAGGCAGATGAAACCATATCGTAAACGACTGTGAGGAACGTATCCAAGCAAAAGACAAGAACTAACATAGTTGAAGGCTAGACACAAGGGACGCTAGCAGGCACTATTGTTTGTATGTCATGTTAATTTTAATGTTAAAAAGGCTGAATCTCTCTCTCTCTCTCTATGAAGTTTTTAGGTAGGAGAGAATCGGTTCGCCGTGGACGATTTTTTAACTATTTTCAAATTAATTTACTTTTGTGATTGGGTTTGATTTCAAACTACGATTTCGGCGATATAAAAATAATATATTTCAAACAAGTAAAATATAAAATATATTGATTCGAATTTTTAATATAATACTTAAATCGTTACATTTTAGCCTAAATTTATTTCACTAAAAATTGTACGTAGTGATATCATTTATTGACGATCATGTTAACTGGATGGAGCTATTTTGATAAAATTTAAATCAAAATGTTAAAACCAAATTAAAATGTAGTTATTAGATTGAACAAATTTGAAGTACAATTACGATAAGTGAAAATAAATTAAAATTTAATTACTCGATTTAATAAAATTACCCTAGATTTACATTATCGCAAATGAGACTTATCCTATCAAAAACGAAACAACATTGTTATTCGTTGGAGATAAAATTAATCAGGGTGGTTAAAGAAACATGGACGAACTAGAACCGGAAAAGTAGGAAGTAATTTTTATCCCGCTACATTATCTATTGTGGTAAATAAAAACCCAAATTTATTTCACCTTTTTTCCTCTTTGTTTTCGAACACAAAAGGTTAAAAGTCGAACCATAAATATTCCATATTTATTAATTTTTTTTTCCAAGTGAAAAAAGCCGTGGAGGCTTGGAACCGAGCCTAGAGGCGGCTCATTTTTGTCCCCACTCCCATTTTACATCAGCATCCCGCTGTACCGGGTCCCACCATGAGCGCTGTCGCGTGCCGCATAGGTACCACTTCACGTGGCAATATAGAGAACCTTTCCAACTGTCATTTCATTCTTAAAAATTTGCGAAAATTTAAAAAAATTAAGAATAAAATAATGCTATTTATCATTAATAAAATATTGATGATGTAATAATTTATAATTGGAAGAAATATGTAATTTCAAACTTTTTATTTGTCACGTCCCTCTCAATAATTAGGAAAAAAACGCGTAATAACCAAGCATAAAACAGTTTGATAAATAAAATTGAATAATAATTATCAATATCTTACTAATTTGGATAAATCTATATGTACATAATGGATTACATATGTCCATGTGGAAGAAATTCGACCGTGAATGTGAAGTGTGGAAAAATTAAAAATTGTAGACTATCGATGAATGCCGCCAAAATAACTAAACACTAATAATAATATTCTAAACTCGTCGTAAAAATATGTTGTCATAAAAAATAATCATATTTATTTTCTTAGATGTAGCATGACAAAATAGATTAAAATTATTTTATTTAAAATAATTGAATTTTAAGGAGATAAACTGTTAGTTGACAAAGATAAACTACTGGTAAAAATAAATGTCGATTCATCCAATGATAAATTAAAAATGCTGAGTAGGAAAAACCTCTTCCTGGGTCCCACATTTTGGTCAACCACAGTCGGTTTCCTTCTATAAATCCAACACAGCCGAGGCTGGAAACTCAGATATGGTATAGTAGTTTGTAGTTTGCATTACACTGCGTCGGCGTTTGAGATTTGGATTCCCCCAAATCTTGTTTTATAATTTCTGTTTTTTTATTTCTTCCGATTTTTTACCTTTTAACCCAAGTCTTGCTTCGTGCATAGTAAGAGATTAACTCATAAATCTTCATTTTGGTTTGGGTTTTGATAAATTTGAACAATTGGTTCTTGTTGGGCATGATCTCTGAAGAATCGGTTGTTATATAAAGTTAAAACGGTATAAAATTTGGCAGATCTGGTGTTTATGTGTTAAAAGATATCTGGGCGTCTTAATTGATTATATCCTATATAAATCGGCGAATAATAATTGAAAACTAACTGAAAAAAATTGTGATTGTAAAGAATGTCGGTGGCGTCGGGACCTGGGATTCAGGTGAGGAGCAACGCCGGAAGTGGGTTGGTGGTAAAGCCATGCGGCAGTCACCAGCTGAATGCCGTGGCGGCTCTGAGTAGGGTGGGGATGAACAGAAGAGCTAGGGTTTCGAGGGGGTTGGTGAAGAGGAACGTCGGTAGTTTGGATAACAGGTTCATTTCCGGGATGGCAGTTCGGGGCGGTGCTTCGGGCTTGTGCACGGAAAGGTTGCATCTTTGGCGCACGGACGGGCATGGCCGGGCGCCGAAGCTGGTGATCAAGAATGCCTTGTCTCAGGTGCCCGAGAAGCCGCTCGGGCTGTATGATCCTTCCTTGGATAAGGACTCGTGTGGGGTCGGGTTCGTCGCTGAACTCTCCGGTGAAAGCAGCCGTAAAACGGTACTTTTTATTTGTCTATATACATATACATATGCATACGGGCACACATAAATATTGCAGTGTGTCCAATAGTGGATTTCTTTTATGGAGTTTTAATTGTTAAACGGTACGTAGGTTACTGATGCAATAGAGATGTTGGTACGGATGTCACATAGAGGTGCATGTGGGTGTGAGACAAATACTGGGGATGGAGCTGGAATTCTTGTGGCTCTTCCTCATGATTTCTACAAGGAGGTTTGGCTTATTTGATATTGTGTGTTCTTTCTTAATTTCCTAATACATAACTGTATACTTCGGTTTTTAGTACTGGTTGATTCTTTTTCATGTCACTTTTGTTGGGGAATTGGATTTGAACGAGATCACTGTTTCTCTATGATTTCAATATTGTTTGGTATTTACAGTAGATTTAATTGTTTGGTTTTTCTATGGGGTTCATGTATTATTGAAGGAGATGTTGACTTCTATACCTCTAATAAAATGAGAAAAAGAAAAGAAAAAGTGTTTTTTTTTAAAGCTAAAGAAAGGATTTTCAGTGCGTTCTATTGATCGGAGTTGATACTTGTTTGTTGATGATAATTGTTTCATGTTCATGCTGTATCAGGCCGCTAAGGAAGCAGGATTTGAGCTTCCCCCTTGTTTGTTGATGATAATTGTTTCTTGTTCATGCTGTATCAGGCTGCTAAGGAAGCAGGATTTGAGCTTCCCCCACCTGGTGAATATGCAGTGGGCATGTTTTTCTTGCCCACTTCCGAAAGTCGGAGGGAACAAAGCAAAATTGTATTCACAAAGGTAGTACCAAGATCAAAACTTCTTATAACTGAATAGGATTTTGTTTTATAAATTATGATAACTGATATTTTTTTGTGTAAAATAATTTGCAGGTTGCGGAATCGCTTGGGCATACTGTCCTTGGCTGGCGGCCTGTCCCCACCAATAACTCAGGGTTGGGCAAGTCTGCTTTGCAGACGGAGCCAGTAATCGAGCAAGTGTTTCTTACACCTACTCCCAGGTCAAAGGCAGATTTTGAGCAACAGGTAGATGCCAAGAGCTGATAGTGATATATTTGCTAATTACTCCAGTTAAAAAAGTTAGACTGTTAGTTCTTACACATTCAAAATTTGTAACTTGCTTTTCTTTTTTCCCTGCTTCCTTGCAGATGTACATATTAAGGAGGGTTTCGATGGTGGCTATCCGAGCTGCATTAAACCTCCAACATGGTGGCGTGAGAGATTTCTATATATGTTCTCTTTCCTCAAGGTTCATTTCTTGGAGAGATTTGTTCCTTTTGAATGTGGACATTTTTATTTGCTGTGACTTTTTGAAATTTATTTTTTGATATCTTTGTCTGTTATATGCAGGACTATTGTCTACAAAGGTCAGTTGAAGCCCAATCAGTTGAAGGAATACTACTATGCTGATCTTGGAAATGAAAGGTTTACGAGCTACATGGCCCTGGTAAATATATTTTCTCCATTCTCTGTTTTATTTCTATGCTGACTCCACATTCAACAACGAACAGCATTGGATCAACCGGTTAACTGAAGCAATGCAAGGTTGAGGAATGACTTCTGAGGCATTGAAGTATGAATGATCTCTTAAGTTCTTCCACACCCTTGATCTTATTTGACTTTGCATGCCGGATTGGTTTCTTTGGGTGAGTTGGTAAGGAACCTCATTACGAGTAAATAATGCATGCAGAAACTTGGTGCCTTGCTCTATGATCTTTTTGCAAGGATCAAAAACCCGTCTTATTGGTGGAAATGAAATTGTGTTCGGTCAAGGTAGTCTAAGGTTCACAATATGGTTCTACTAGCACTCCACATTTAGTTTTAGAAGTGCCCTGAACACAGTTGTCATTACGTTTAGATTCCAAATCTTCTTTACATGGGTGGAATTGGGACTGAGTTATCTCTCTCCCTGATTTTTTTTTTTCAGATACACTCTAGGTTTTCAACAAACACATTTCCCAGCTGGGATCGTGCTCAGCCCATGCGTGTCCTGGGACACAATGGAGAAATAAATACACTACGGGGAAATGTAAACTGGTAAGTATCTTGATGTGGTTATCTCTCTCTATATTTGTTACTGTTACAATTGTGTTCTTAATATGTTGTGCAGAAGTTTTAGCCCCTGTTTGGCTTCCACTTTTTAAAGCTCATTCTTCCTCAAACTCATTTTTACTTTTTAGCCATAAATTTCATTGGACCCACAACTTTATCATCTTTTCAACCATACATTTCATCCATTTTTATCATAATCTTCTAAGAATCTGGTTTTTCGCTAAATCAAACAAGGGCTTAATTGGATGGTCCAACTAGTTATTGGTAAAGAATGGATAGTTAGAATCACTGTTCTTGTTCCTTCAATATTTTCAGCTGGAACCTGAATGAGTCAACTTTGATTTCTGTAGTTACACTGACTTCCTAGTCTATGGTTACTTAAATTTGAATTTTCATGCTCGTAAAAAGTTGTCTGGGTTACTGTTATATTGGATTCAGCTGCTTACTTGCTACTTGAGTTTATATATACAAGGGAGACTGTTGGATGTCAATCCAGTGACTTCTGTGTCATGTTTTTTAATGTTAATGTAGATAGAACTGACCGTACCACTTGCTGTTATTATTCGAACTAGGATGAAGGCTCGTGAAGGACTGTTAAAGTGCAAGGAGCTAGGCTTGTCAAAGACAGAGATGAAGAAGCTTCTACCAATTGTAGATGCCAGCTCATCAGATTCAGGTTACATATACCCAATTTCTTCATGTGATTGCATGTATATGGATTTGACATGCTTGCCTTCATGATTCGTATCTAGTGGCATCAATTCATTATAGTAACAAGAAGTAGATCGCAATGCTACAAATGCTGATGGTCAAACATTCACAATTTACCTGAAGTGTCAGATATTTCTGCAAATTTCTGAATTTTGCTTTCTTCATACATCAGGAGCATTTGATGGGGTTCTTGAGCTTTTGGTTAGAGCTGGCAGAAGTCTTCCCGAGGCTATAATGATGATGATTCCCGAAGCCTGGCAAAATGATAAGAACATGGACCCTCATCGAAAGGCCTTGTACGAGTACTTCTCAGCCCTCGTGGAACCATGGGATGGCCCTGCTCTCGTATCATGTATGGGTTTTCATTGATATTTATTTTGAACTTGCTTCATATGATTGCACAGTTATTTGATGCTTAACAGAATATTTTGCAGTTACTGATGGAAGCTATCTTGGAGCAACCTTGGATCGAAATGGATTGCGTCCAGGTCGATTTTATATAACGCATAGTGGTCGAGTTATCATGGCAAGTGAAGTTGGAGTAGTTGATATTCCACCTGAAGACGTCAGCAAGAAAGGAAGACTTAATCCTGGCATGATGCTCCTTGTAGATTTTGAGAAGCATGTTGTTGTAGATGATGAGGCCTTGAAGCAGCAATATTCACTTGCTAGGCCTTATGGAAAATGGCTAGAAAGGCAAAAGCTGGAATTGAAAGACATACTTGAATCCGTTCAGGAATCTGTCAGGGTTCCTCCACCCATACCAGGAATTGTACCAGTAAGTTTATCATCTTATTCTTCACCACTGATTCTTTTGCCCCCTTTCCCTATGCTGGTAATTAATCTGCGGCAATTTTCAGGCATCTCTTGACGATGACAACACGGAAAACATGGGCATCCATGGTTTATTGGCACCTTTGAAGGCTTTTGGGTAAGATTCTCTGAACCTAGTCAGCTCTTAAATTTGAGAAGGCTGTTGCACTTTTGTTTGGAAATAAATATACTTCTTGTCCTCCCCATGCGCAGTTACACCGTTGAAGCCTTGGAGATGCTGTTACTACCTATGGCAAAGGATGGCATTGAGCCCCTTGGTTCAATGGGAAACGATGCTCCATTGGCTGTGATGTCTAACAGGGAGAAGCTCACATTCGAGTATTTCAAACAGATGTTCGCTCAAGTAACTAATCCTCCAATCGATCCAATACGTGAAAAGATTGTTACTTCTATGGAATGCATGGTTGGTCCAGAAGGCGATCTCACAGAGACCACAGAAGAGCAGTGTCACCGCTTGTCACTCAAAGGTCCTCTTTTATCCATTGAAGAGATGGAAGCAATTAAGAAGATGAACTACAGAGGCTGGCGAAGCAAAGTTCTTGATATCACTTACTCTAAGCATCGTGGCAGGAATGGTTTGGAGGAGACCTTAGATAGGATATGTTCAGAAGCTCACAAAGCTATTAAGGAGGGTTATACAACACTTGTGCTCTCTGACAGAGGTACTCCTTCCCAGACTTTCGAAATTTTCTATTAAGAATGCTTAGTTTGTTGTTTCTGTTCATATGTGAAGTTACCATATATGCCCTTTTGATATTTGTAGCCTTCTCATCTAAGCGTGTCACGGTGAGTTCCCTATTGGCTGTTGGTGCTGTACATCATCATCTAGTTAAGAAGCTTGAGCGAACTAGGGTTGCATTGATCGTTGAATCTGCAGAGCCCCGTGAAGTGCACCATTTTTGTACACTCGTGGGATTTGGTGCAGATGCTATCTGCCCTTATTTGGCTATAGAAGCCATTTGGAGACTGCAAGTCGATGGAAATATTCCTCCTAAAGCCAATGGTGAGATCCACTCAAAGGATGAACTGGTCAAGAAATACTTCAGAGCAAGCAACCACGGTATGATGAAGGTCCTTGCGAAAATGGGGATATCAACTTTGGCCTCATACAAGGGTGCTCAGATTTTTGAGGCTGTTGGCCTCTCCTCGGAAGTAATGGAAAGATGCTTCAATGGAACTCCAAGTAGAGTTGAAGGTGCCACTTTTCAGGCACTTGCACATGATGCTCTCCACTTGCATGATCTTGCTTTTCCAATGCGCACATTACCTCCTGGAAGTGCTGAGGCTGTAGCACTTCCTAATCCCGGAGATTATCATTGGAGGAAGGGTGGTGAGATTCATCTTAACGATCCCCTTGCCATAGCAAAACTGCAAGATGCTGCCCGAACCAACAGTGTGGCTGCCTACAAAGAGTATTCTAAACGCATACAAGAATTGAATAAATCCTGCAATTTAAGGGGACTTCTTAAATTTAAAGAGACTGTCGCGAAGGTTCCTCTGGAAGAAGTTGAACCAGCCAGTGAGATTGTAAAACGATTTTGTACTGGAGCCATGAGCTATGGATCTATATCATTGGAAGCGCACACAACTTTAGCAATTGCCATGAACAAGCTAGGGGGAAAGTCAAATACAGGTATGTAGTATACTACTGCTTTAAGGTTTCCTTTTCCCCTCCCCCCAGGGGCGTGGTCAGTGGAAGTATTAGTTGTGGAAAAAGAACAAATACAATAATTGGGTTGAAGTCCTTTTTGCATCTTCCTCAATAACCATAGATTCTGCTGGGGTATAAATATTGTAATTATATAAATTCATTAGCTTTCCTGGAATGTGTTAGTGGAAAGTGATTTTGATTGACGTCTGGTTTGTGCTTAATATTTTCTTGAAATTTTTCGTAATTTTGCTCTAAGTCCAGAATTTTAATTTTTTTTTAGTTAATTATCTAAGAAATTCGATGTTCCTAACCAGCTTACTAATGTACCTTTTTATTTCTCTTTCGCAGGTGAGGGTGGTGAACAACCATCTCGTATGGAGCCTCTTCCTGATGGTTCAAGGAATCCAAAGAGGAGTGCAATTAAGCAGGTAGCAAGTGGGAGATTTGGAGTTTCTAGTTACTACCTTACAAATGCTGACGAATTACAGATAAAAATGGCTCAGGTATGCCTTTTTGTGGGTCTCATGTTTACTTTGAAGATTGTTCATCCAGCCTATATTGATCTATGTACTTGTTCATATTTTCCTATTAGCCCGTATTCCTGTTGAAACATAGGTTTCTTTTATTTATATATCCATGTTCATGTACAGAATCTGCTGTGTCTGCAAAGCACCTTTCAGGTGTCTTTGTATCTATAAATGAAACCTGCATTTGGCCTTCGGTGAGATGAATCTTAACTGGAGATTTTCTCTCTTCGAAGGGTGATCATATTGCTAACTTTAGATTGTCTGTTGCAGGGAGCAAAGCCGGGAGAAGGTGGTGAACTTCCTGGCCACAAGGTCATTGGGGACATTGCTGTCACCAGGAACTCAACTGCCGGTGTGGGTCTAATTAGTCCTCCTCCCCATCATGATATTTATTCAATTGAAGATCTTGCTCAATTGATTCATGACCTCAAGGTAATTTTTTCTACTCCATTTTATATGACCATCTTTGATCTTTTGAACTCCCCTTGTGGGTATTTGCATATTGGAGCAGATGTGTATCCATCATTTTTTGAAACATGATAGATATATGGCTTCCTCATTGTCTCTTATTGATATATTTTTTGTTGATTTACTTACGCAGAATGCCAATCCCGGGGCTCGTTATTCACACTTCAACCAAAGACTTCCTGGTGTTGGAGTTATTGCTAGTGGTGTTGTCAAGGGTCACGCTGATCATGTTCTAATCTCTGGTCATGATGGAGGTACAGGAGCCTCGAGATGGACTGGTATCAAGAGTGCTGGGGTTCCATGGGAACTTGGTCTTGCAGAGACCCATCAAACCTTAGTTGCTAATGACCTACGGGGTCGAACTGTTCTTCAGACAGATGGTCAACTAAAAACAGGGAGAGATGTGGCCATAGCTGCACTTCTTGGAGCAGAGGAGTTTGGTTTTAGTACTGCTCCTCTTATTACGCTTGGCTGCATCATGATGCGGAAGTGCCACAAAAACACCTGTCCAGTTGGGATTGCCACCCAGGATCCTGTTCTCAGAGAAAAGTTTGCGGGTGAGCCTGAACACGTCATAAATTTTTTCTTCATGCTGGCGGAAGAGCTGAGGGAAATAATGTCTCAACTAGGGTTTCGAACAATTAATGACATGGTTGGCCGTTCAGACATGCTTGAATTGGATAAAGATTTGGCCAAGAACAATGAGAAGCTAAAGAATATTGATCTGTCCTTGTTACTTCAACCAGCTGCTGATATTCGTCCAGAAGCTGCACAGTATTGTGTGCAGAAACAGGATCATGGTTTGGACATGGCTTTGGATAACAAACTAATAGCTTTGTCCAAACCTGCTTTAGAGAAAAGTCTCCCTGTGTACATCGAGTCACCAATCTGCAATATAAATAGGGCCGTTGGAACCATGCTAAGCCATGAAGTCAGTAAGCGCTACCACTTGTCGGGACTTCCTCACGATACAATTCATGTCAAACTCAGCGGAAGTGCAGGACAAAGTCTTGGAGCTTTTCTATGCCCTGGCATTACATTGGAACTTGAAGGTGACAGCAATGACTATGTTGGCAAAGGGTTATCAGGTGGAAAGATTATTGTTTATCCTCCGAAAGGAAGCAATTTTGACCCTATATGACTATGTTGGCAAAGGGTTATCGGGTGGAAAGATTATTGTTTATCCTCCGAAAGGAAGCAATTTTGACCCTAAGGAAAACATAGTAATTGGAAATGTAGCTCTTTATGGGGCAACAAACGGAGAGGCATACTTTAATGGGATGGCAGCAGAAAGATTTTGTGTTCGCAATTCAGGGGCCAAAGCAGTTGTGGAAGGTGTGGGTGATCACGGATGTGAGTACATGACTGGTGGAATTGTTGTTGTGCTGGGAAAGACAGGTAGAAACTTTGCTGCTGGAATGAGTGGGGGCATTGCCTATGTTCTCGACATGGATTCCAAGTTCAGATCTCGATGCAATCTTGAGTTGGTCGATCTTGATCCAGTAGAAGAAGATGATATTATGACACTCAGAATGATGATACAACAGCATTTACGTCACACAAACAGTGAACTGGCTAAAGAAGTGCTTGCTGATTTTGATACTCTTTTGCCTAAATTTATCAAGGTTTTCCCTCGAGATTACAAACGAATTCTTGCAAGCACGCAAGGAAAAGAATCTGCAAAAGCAGCTGCTGGACATGCTGCCAAAGAAGCTGAGTTGCAGGAACAGGAAGAGTTGATGGAGAAAGATGCTTTTGAAGAGCTTAAGAAGCTGGCAGCTACATCCGTGAACGAAAAAGACAGTCAGGTAAGTTATCTTCTGTCATTGTTCATTATGCAGCTATAATTTTTGCACTTTTCACTAGTTAGAGAATTTTTTTGATGAAATGGCATCATCCTTGGTGCAATATAGCTAATGATTGAAACCAAAGAATACTACAAAAACAGACTAAGCCTTGTTCCCAATGAGCTTGGAGTCCGCTACAAGAATCCTTTTCCCCAACTCCGGTATGTTCATTGCTGGATATGCTTAGCAACAACAAAAGACCATCTTAATTTTCGTCTGCCTGTCCTAACTTGTTCTACTGTTATATATCGAATAATTTATCAACAAATTATGTATGCTCATTAATTTCAAGCATATATATAGAAAATGTCTGGGTACTTCTGATGTTAGTTAATTATGTACTGGAGTAGCAGTATGACGTCTAGTGTAAAGATGGTAGTTAATGTAATGGCAGTATAACGTCTTGTGTGGTCTATACTGGGATTTTTTTTTTCATATTTTTTTGTTTGGGTTCTTACTTGATTTTTTGAAATCAACAGGCTGAGGAGGATAAACAATTGAAGAGACCTACTAGGGTTCCAGATGCTGTGAAGCACCGAGGTTTTGTTTCCTATGAGCGAGAGAGCATTTCGTACAGAGATCCTAATATTCGGATGAATGACTGGAAAGAAGTTATGGAAGAATTAAGACCTGGCCCACTTCTGAAGACACAATCTGCTCGTTGTATGGACTGTGGCACTCCTTTTTGTCATCAGGTAAGATAGATTATAGCAAGATTTCTTATCAGTATGATCGATACTTCTATGTAATACTGAATTTTGTTGCTCGGGATATGTATGTCATAAAAATTCAGGAGCATTCTGGATGTCCTCTTGGAAATAAAATTCCTGAATTCAATGAGTTGGTGTACCAAAATAGATGGCATGAAGCGTTGGATAGGCTCTTGGAGACTAATAACTTTCCTGAGTTCACGGGCCGGGTATGCCCTGCACCTTGTGAAGGGGCTTGTGTCCTTGGTATTATCGAGAATCCCGTCTCTATCAAAAGCATGGAATGTGCTATAATAGACAAAGCTTTTGAGGAGGGATGGATGGTGCCACGACCTCCCCTGAAGAGAACTGAGTATGGTTTCCGTAAATATGTTGTACTTCACTTAGTTGCTTGGGCACGTGTATATCTTGGATTTGTAGCATGAGATCCTAATTATGTTCCCTATTACAGGAAAAAAGTTGCCATTATTGGAAGTGGGCCTGCTGGCTTAGCTGCTGCTGACCAGTTAAATAAAATGGGTCATACTGTGACCGTGTTTGAGCGTTCGGACAGAATTGGTGGTCTTATGATGTATGGGGTGCCTAACATGAAGGCCGATAAAGTTGATATTGTCCAGAGACGGGTTAACCTCATGGAAAAGGAAGGTGTAAACTTTGTGGTAAAAGTAAATGTTGGAAAGGATCCTGCATACTCGCTTGATCAGCTTCGTGAGGATCATGATGCTATCGTTTTGGCTGTAGGAGCCACGAAGCCAAGGTGAGCAATATTATTTTCAGGCTATTCTTATTGCATAACTTTACAATTCTGTCAGTAATCTTAATAGATATGCTGGACTAATTTGGCAGGGACCTCCCTGTTCCTGGACGAGAACTGTCTGGAGTCCTTTTTGCAATGGAGTTTCTTCATGCTAATACAAAAAGCTTGCTCGATAGCAATCTTAAGGATGGTAATTACATCTCTGCCAAGGGCAAGAAGGTAGTGGTAATTGGTGGGGGTGACACCGGTACAGATTGTATTGGAACATCTATCAGACATGGTTGCAGCAGCATCGTAAATCTAGAGCTTCTCCCTGAGCCACCACTAACCCGAGCAGCTGGAAACCCTTGGCCTCAGGTTGGACCTGACTCTATTTTTAACCAGAGTCAGTAGCTCTATGGTTAACTGTGCTCTTTATCTAGGGAAGAAAGTGCATGTTTGGCTAAGCTTAAAATGTTAATTAAAAGCATGTTTGCGAAGTGTTCATAAACGGTGGTGGATGAATGTGTAGTACTTGTTGATCTCTCGAAATGTGTGGATAAATAGTGGCTTGAGTGTTTATAAACATGAGCCAAACATAGGCTAAGTAAATAAGTTTGTTCTAGAACAAATAATGTTTTGTTGGTGATAATTGGAAATAAGCAAGTAATTACTGTCAAAATAAGTAATTTTTTACTTTTTACTTATTACTAAGAAAAGAATAAGTTATCCAAGCTTGTTTGGAAAGAATAATACTTTAAAAAGGAAGTTTTACTTACCTATCAAAAAAAAAAAAAAAAGTAAGTTTTACTTTTATGCTTTGCCAAACATGCTCAAATATTACTTTTGTAGACTTGTTTAATCCAAATTCTGGACGTCTTAGCTAAAAATGGTATTCTTTTCTTTTGTGGCCGTCTTGTGTCATCACCTATGTGGTGCATGGTGTATTTATTTATATTAGTATAAGAGTAGACTTGTTGTATTTAATGACTGTTATTTAAATGCAGATTCTGAATTTTGGAAGTTTAATATAATTTTACCAAGATAAGGAAAATTAAAATATGAAATTTGTCTGCACTTCCCCTCCCAATTGAACTTTCTTGACGTCATTAATTAATTTTCCATCTGTTGAATGTTGGCAGTGGCCCCGCATATTCCGTGTAGATTATGGGCATCAAGAAGCTGCATCGAAGTTTGGCAAGGATCCTAGGTCTTATGAGGTTATGACAAAGCGGTTTGTTGGAGACGAGCATGGAGTGGTGAAAGGACTGGAGATTGTGAGTGTCCATTGGGAGAAAGATGCAAGTGGGAAGTTTTCATTTAAAGAAGTTGAAGGCAGCGAGGAGACCATTGAAGCTGATTTAGTCTTACTAGCCATGGGATTCCTCGGACCTGAATCAGTTAGTATTCTGAACTTTAGCTTGGATTTGCTCCTGTTCATTGACAATAATGTCATTGATTTTACATCCTCTCCGTCTTCTTTTTGCTTCTCTTTCCTTTTCTTTGGGGGGTTGGTTTGCTAGGCCCAAGAGAGCAGCATTTTTGGCTAAGCTCAAATAGTTTACTTACAAGTAAATAAGCGAGATTCAAAATAAATAATTATTTAATTGGTTTGAGTTGAAAATAAGTCACTTTAGACATGCTTTGACTCAATGTTGTGAAATTCTCACTTGGCATAATACATTATCTTCCTTGGTTTTTGCAGACTCTACCCGACAAACTGGGCTTGGAGAGGGACAACAGGTCGAACCTTAAAGCTGAGTATGGACGCTTCTCAACCAATGTGGAAGGGATTTTTGCTGCCGGAGATTGCCGCCGAGGTCAATCTCTGGTCGTGTGGGCAATTTCAGAAGGCCGACAAGCAGCTGCACAAGTTGACAATTACCTAATGAAAGATGAGAATGACGTCACAATTAGCACCGACAGACTTGAAGAATCGACACAGACACAAGATAGCAACAGACAAACAGTTATGACGTAGACGGCTTTAGTTTCACTTCATACCATGTTGTCTGAAGCAAAAGGGAAGGGCGGGTCGTAGACTTATCCTTTGTTGGATGTTGAAGGGGTAGAAGACAAACATGACAGAAGATCGAAAAAGAATTACATGGTAGAATGTTCAAGCCGGAATCTAGGCCTTAGGATTCTGATAGTTGTATTCTGGTGTTTATAGAGTTGTTGGGTGCTTAAATTTTGGCATCTGTGTCATGTTAAACTAATAATGTACAGTTTTTGTTTGTTCGATGTTTTGATGGAAATGAATATATGGGGGATTCTAGTTGAATTTGCACCTCCTTTTGTGTACTATCTTTTGTTGGAATTGGATGGTTGATAGCTCAGTATTATGAACCGTCTCATCTAAAATCCTTAAATTGTTAATAGCAAAAGGATTAAACTTCGTCTTCATTCTCTTGTGCAGATTTTATAAATGGAACTTGACAAAACTTCAATCCACATCTTTGTTTGGTTTTGATGTCACTTTGAAAAATTTGTTGTGTTTCGTCCTTTAAGAATTTGGTTATGGATGGTGACAATTTTAACACTTCTTTTGCCTAGTTTGGATATCATGTCGAAATGTCATTGCAGGCTGAACCTATAAGATTTGGTTATGGAAGATGGCAAAACTAACCGCTTGCTTAATTTTGATATCATTTTGAAAAATTGTTGTGGGTCGATCCTTTGAGAATTTGGTTTGCACATTTTGGAGAGTGTCGAGAACAACATTCGAATGCACGTTTTTCTTTTTACTGTTTTCGTTGTTAGATAACAAAGATAGTATTTTTTTTTTCATCCATCATATTTAATTCTTATGCATATTTGATAAATTGAACATGGACGGACATGGATTTCACATATTGAAATTTTAGAAAGCACTTAGCTTTATTCGTTGTTTTTTATTAATTTATTCTGACTGAAAATAATTGTACAGTTTTTTTTAAAAACGATTTTATTAGAAAAATGGATATATATCACTGCTGTCATCTATGATACAAGGATTATGCTACATGTATCGAATCTTTTACTTACTACGAGTCTATTGCCCGTGCAATGCACAAGCTTTGTTATTTCAAAGGTAATATTAGCGTTCCTATAAAATAGATTGATACCTCTTCTTTAGGTGACTTCTTAAACCTTTGATGCATAATATTTTTTTCATGTACGAGTAGGGTGGGGGTGTTGAGCAGGGCAGTTGGCAAAGAAAGCAAATCTTCATATCCTTTAGAACAAAGATAATAATAGCTTACATCTTGGGTTCTAGCTGATAACATGCGGAGAATGAAATATTTCGAAAGTTTTTCCCTTCTCTCCCTATGATATATAAACAAATTGTGCCATAAAATGGCTCTACAATAAAACTTTTGCTATGAACGGTGTGCAGCTCAAAAACTAAGGGTCCGTTTGATTGCAAGGGTGAAAAATTGGTAGAAAGAAAATGAATTCCAAATAAAGTAATTGCCTAGAAATTGTTTTGCAAGGAATTGTTAATTAAATGTGTTTGATTGATATAATTTTTCACCCGATTTTTTTTAAATTTTGTGTTCGTTTGGCCTTTGTTTGCATCAAAATTGTCCATTAAAGTGACAATTTTTTCCACAATTGGTTATAAAATTTGTTTCCATTGTTGAAAAGTAAAAAAAAAAAAAACGAAAAAAAAAAATTTTTTCCTAAAAAATAATTTTTTTATTAAAGTTTAGTTTTGTTTGACTTTGTTTTTCATGAAAATTGTCAATTAAAGTGATTTTTTTTTTTTTTTACATTTGATTATGACATTTGTTTCTATTGCAAATAAAAAAATTGACAGCCTCATGGAAAATTTTTTCCCACCATTAATTTTTTCCCACCAAAATGGTGGGAAAAATTTTTCCTCCAAAACAAGGAAATAAGGCGCGTGGGGGGTTGGGGGAGAAAAAATTTTCCACGGAAAATTATTGTCATCAAACAATCAAAAAGTAAGAAAATAGAAAAATATTTTCCATGGAAAATCAAAACCATCAAACAGGGCCTATATTCAAATGAAGAATTAAAAATGTGGAATATTGCTGAAGACTCGTTTAATACTTTTGAAGACGTTATACTGCTTGAAATTGCTAACCTATCACTAGACGAGCGAGTGTTGAAGTTAATGTTGGTAATGTTGAAAAGATGAAGTTGAGACGATTAAGGATTAAAATAAAATATATTCGTGTATTTATTAAAGTCATATCGATATATTTGCATCATGTCGTATTCACATTAGACATCCAATTAGGTCAAAATAGTATACATTTGACACGTTATCTTCAAATTTGTTTTTTATTTTAAAAAATTAAAGCAACTCATGCGCAAATGGGGTCTATCTGCCAATCCTGGTCCTGGATAACAGACCCAACTAACACTTCCACTACAATCTTTAGCCCACTACAACAACAAATGAAAGTATCGAGAGAGATCATATCGAGAATAAAAAATAGAGAAACAAAGACAAATGCAAGTAGAGATCACACACGTAGAGAGAGAGAAAGAGAGACCTGGTATACTGAGATGTGTTAGTTGCAAGAATTCTATGCCCAAAGATCATTGATCTCTTATTTTCCCAATCAAAAACAGGTTCATAAGCAGGCAAGTGAGATTCTCCAACATGCTGCAGGTAACTTGCAATAATGTAAAAATATTTAAGCAGTATCACACATGCAAATGCATGAAGTACGAAAAATATTGCTAAGTGAAGACGTTGGAAACTTTTGCATTTGATGACTCGTAGATATTTTCTTCTGAAAAGTGATGCCTAGATGTACTTGGCATCTCTTCATCCATGGGATCTTCTACTTTAGTTCTTCTAGCATTAGCAAAATTCATTTCAGAAAGTAATTCGGAAAAACATGATTAGTTATCACACATGTACCTAGTACTATAAAATTACAAATATTTTGTTTCCTACTATGTACAGAAGAGACCAAGAGTTTGCAGGATGATTTCTCAGTCATTCACAAGGTTGCAACACACAATCATGCAATATAATTAGATGGGACGTTGTAGAGGGTTTATTTGAACATATACTGAGGATTCAAAGCTATTTTGCGAGAACAAAGTAAACGCCATGATCATACTTTCTAGGTGGAGAATGAATTAGTATAACATCACATCTCCTGCACTATTGAATCTATAAAATGTTTACTCCAAATGGAAGTGTATAATTATTGCCGTGTAACTAACCTATTTCTATATCAGTATCAGGTCCTTCGAATATCTGATTGTGAAATGAGATGGGGCCAATACTTTCATAGTGCCCTGTATTCATCTTTAACCCATTCAGAACCATAACTTTGAATAAGTTCATTCAAATGTGGCCACTGCTCCAAGTTTTCATCAAGCTAGAATAAAATGTCAAATCGATAACACATCAATTTAACTGTCAAAGACTTGATTGAATCATTCTATCTTGCATATAATCCAGGACCTGAACAAGACTGCAACTAACAAAGCTACGCAGCATGTGTAGGTAGATAAATCCAGAACCAGTACCATAATAGAGCTACTAAACCTAAAGTTCTAATGCAAGGTTTTAAGCTGATAGTATATTGTCAATTAATAATACCAAAAACAGGAATTCCAATGCTCAACAAGTAATTCTAAACATTTTTTTTTCTTCTTTTGAAGTAAAGTTGGACATTGAATGATCATGATATTCAATAATCTGTATGTTTTTTTGGTAGTTTAACGGAGGTTTGCCCCTCCAACAAAAAAAGGTATAAATATGGAAACTTCTCTGCCATATCTAACAAAGTTAGTAAGTCTGACTCACAAGTGGGCAGTTGACAAGAAAGAAAAAATTTATTTCCTATAATTTTAGATAATGAATGGTGCAGAACCAATTAAATGTGAACCTCTGCCACCAAATGAACAGTAGTTGCCTCATCATCTCCTTTAATAGAAATGCTGGATCAAAACTGCAACAGGAATTGCCACTAGGAACCTCATATCTCATAATTGACAAATAAAAATCTCACAAACCACAAACACCTTAACCCTCAGCCCCGCACTCTCTCTTTTCTTCCCTAAAGCAAGGGACATATTTTATTTCACACATTCTGCAAACAACAATCTATATTTTACTCGCAAATGACATCGACACTCGAAAAAAAACAACCAACAAGAGGTTGGTATATAGACCTTGTGCAATTGAATGTCGTGAACAATTTAAATGAATAATTAACTAGCCAATGTATGATTAGCACAAAACAGTAGTAACCTAGAAGAAAAAATATGGCCAATGAAAGAATTGACTGTAATGCAAGTTGCTGTTGAGGCTACAAGGATGACTATGTAGAGGCAAGAGTTGATGGAGGAAGTGTATGTTTAAGCTGCCTCAATAGATTGATCATTAGACTAATAGTTTGCTCTGTAGCAAGATCTTTACATGCACATAGAACATGTAGCAGAAGAAATAGTTGATAGTCAAATTGTGGACCCTACGAACAATACAGAATTTCTTTTGGGGTAAATGGTCAAAGATAGGAGAATTCTCTAAACATGCAAGACCAAAAATAAAATGATCACTTTTGGAGTATATTCATGTCTATTAATGTCCAAAGATCCCCTAGTCAAGTGGAGGCTAATTAGATTGTAAAACTCTCTTTGGAATATCATACCACAATAGAATGCAAACCAAGTTATTAAGTGGTCATATGGTGAGAACTAACCTCAGCAAATATAGCAACAATTTTGGGGAGATATTGAATGTTAGGACCCAAAATTTCCCTATCGGACCTACAAGAGGAAAACCAGGCCAACAAACAGAAGCAAGGATTGTTAGCAACGAAGTCTGATTTCCAATGGCGACAAATCAATGCAGTCTCAATCGCCTACCTCTCGACAATTGAGCAAAGCTGCTCATGAACAAGTTTTGCTTCAATAAGATCACCCTTTATAGGTAAGTAGCTCAACCAGGGAGGGACTACCTACTAGTAACATTCAGGAGTAAGAGTGCAGGAATTAACAAGAGATAAGCAAATGAAACATATATTTATACACAGAAGAAAACTCTACCAGAATCAGCATTACATAACGAATTAGATATCTTCAAAGAAGATGAGATTGGTGTTGGAAAGTTGTTATCCTACTGTACAGTTCAATGTTAGATGCATTTGGAAGAAAAAACTTGAAGATCTTCTTTCAATTGGTGTTTACAGTTACTTTCTAACATAAACTTTTGCCATATTAGAAGGAAGTAGATTTATATACCAACCAAGAGATGTTAAGAAGCCTTTTGGGTCAAAACTGAAAGCAGGCCAGTGAATAACAAATCTTTTGAGTGACCAATGTGATACCCAACTTGTTCACCTACTTCACAAATACGAGCTTTTGCCACAATTTTTGCAATAGCTACAACAATAAATCTTCTTGGTTGTCTACAAAATATAGGCTCCATGTTACATCATATAATGAAAAAAAACAATGCCACATGCACATTTTATCAAATCAAGTAGTTGAATTGTCCCAATTGAAACTAAGTTTAATAAAATCAAACTCAACCTACATTTCCACATATAGAAACAACCAATCTATTCTAATTAATCCCCTTGATCATTGTATTTGAGTCTCTCATATAAGCAGCCACTTGTTCAGTGATATTCTGAAGAAGTGCAAATAGTCAGTTGTTGACTGTGTCACATTTCACTACACAAGAAAAACTCCCAAAATGCTAGGATGGTATAGATTACAGTCTATACTCCCAAAAGTCCCCATGCACTCGATGAGTAAGAAAAAAACTCCCAAAATTCTAGGATGGTATCCAAAGCCATTAAGCATATAAACCAAGTATGGTTTTCATTCATCTAGGCCACAACCATAATGCTAGCATGGTATAGATTACAGTTTAACCCTAACACACCGAGCATGAAAATAAAAGGCAACTTGTAATAACTAAAGAAAGGAGAGGTAACATGGAGTAAGAAGCATGCATGTACCAGTACCGCTTTAGTAGATTCTTCAAAACTTCCGAAAGATGTTCAACCCCAATGTATGTGCACCACATCTAGAAACATATGATCCATTGCAGTTTGGGGTACGTCCCAAGCCAAATATAAAACCCAAATCAAATGGGAATGCTTTTTCCATCAACGACATCCTTCGCAGCAGAGGCTGTCTTTGAATCATAAAACTACAACAAAGCCTGAAAAATAAAGGAAACAGTAGGAAGGTCAAATTTTATAGGAATTAGAGTCTTTAAAGCAGCAAGAAACCAAGCAAAAACTCGGAATTAGAAATACATGTTGTAGTTAAAATATATACCAACTTGTCATCCTTGTAATTATTAGGGACTAATATGTAAATTCTTTTCATCCTTGTATATACCTTGGTAGAATATCAATAATATATACAATTTTTCATCCCAAACATCACGACATGGTATCAGAGATTAGGTTATCCTAGGTGCCGGAGACGTCGACGTCCTTCTCCGGTTACTCAGACGCCGACCAGCTCCGGTGTCGTCTCCTCGATGTCTGAACAGTCACAGAGCACAGTGACGCGAACCTTAGGCGCACGACTTCTCTTGTTTGGGACCGATTTCAACCTTTTTTTCGTTACCGGGTACCGAAGACCTCGCACTGCCCCTGCGCAGCTTCGGCGCTGACTGTCGGTAGTTTTTTGTTTTTCCCAGCTCATTTCTCAGCCACTTACATGATTTATTGTTAAGAGATTGGGCTACTTTGGTTCTGTAGTCTCTCTCTGGGTCTAGTGGTTTAAAATTGGATTTGTATTGTTCGCATTTGGTGGTTTTCTTGTGCTCCCTGTCTTTTTGCAAACTATTCTTGAAATCACGACGGATAAAAAAGTGGTTACATCGTTAATTCATGAAACATCATTCCGATTCACATTAAGTTAGATGGCACTAACTATCGTGTGTGGTCAAAATTGTTGGAAATGCACATTACATTTTTGGTGAACTAACTATACCTAAAGAGAGTGATAATAACTATGGTGAATGGATGGTAGATGATGCTATCGTTAAGTCTTGGCTTATCAATTTTATGACAGATGCTCTTGTGGCTCATTTTGTTCAGTTTGACACAGCTAAAGATGTGTGGGATGCAGTTAAGAGAAGTTATCTCGATGTCTCTGATTCTTCACAAGTGTATGAACTTATGAAAAAGTCTTTTCAACTACGGTAAGAGGGGCGGCCTCTTGTCACGTACTATACTGAAATGAATTCCATTTTCTTGGAACTTGACTATCGCA